TTTTTTTTTTTTTTTTAACAAAGTTATTTCAATCAAATAGGTGATTTTAAATTATCCGAACATTAATTAAAAATGTAATTTGACTTCTGTACATTTGTTTTTTCGATTACAACCAGGTATGATCAATTGGAAGTCGCGATGTCAGAATGATGTTTTCGAGATTTGATATTCTTGAAGCGGTAAAAGGTGTTCGTTTTAATCTATAGGGGAAATCGGTAGAGGGTGAAAGCGGAGATTCGTGGTAGATGTACGCAGCATAAATTGAACTCGATGAGACCCGAGGTCTCCCTTATAAGTGGATAAGCTTGTTGTAGTGGGTTTACCAAGTCTGGTTTGAATGTTCGATTGCAGTAATTTGAGCTTTGAGAATTGAAACGATGTTCCTAACTTGAATACGTTGTTTTATATTTCGTAAAATTACAATCACGTTCTGAAAATTATAAACAATTTTCAGAAAAAAAATAAAAAATTTATTGAATAATATATGAAATAAAGCTTTTAAAAAAGGGAATATTTTATTTTTTTTCGACGAATTGGAAAATTGATAATAATATAAGATTTTTAGAAAAGTGAAATTTGTTAAAGTATTGACAAATAAATTTTAATGACATGTAAATATTAAATATATAATAATATCATTATTTTATTTTATGATATTCATATAATAAATTATATTTCGTTTTGCACAATTACAATGAGTCTATAATAAGCATGATAAAAATTAGATTCATAGTTATAATCTTCTTTCTTTAATTTTGTTTTTGAAATGTAAATAATTGAGATTCGTTTTATTACTTAATAATAAACTTCAAGTATTTCATATGATAATATAAATATAATATATTATTTTATTTGTCATCATTATGTCACAATAAAAATATACAATATTTGCATAACATGATTATTATATTTTTTTTTAAAAATCACAAAAAAAAACAAAAAATTGAAATATGTACATGCAAAAATTTCCTGTTTTAATGGAAAGAAGAAACATTCATTAAATAAAAAAAAAAAATGTGATAAATTATAATTTTCATTTTCTATGTTTTAATCGTTATTAAAAATCTTACTATTACATAAATTTATATAAATATAAAAAATTTCGTATTTATATTATAATTCCTATTATTTAAACCCATGAAAACCAGCTTTCAGATTTTAATATTGAATTTGCACTCTCTCACTCGATGAAATTATTTAATCGTAACAATTGGTCATAATACTTAGTTACGATAGTGTACGTAGTTGGTTACCATATCAGTACTATATCCGACAGAGTGTGACGTACTTCGCCCCCTTCCCTCTCCTTTTTCTTTTCATGAGGGTGAAACTCGGTTCAAAGGGGTTATTTTAGGAACAGGAAGGTGGCTGGCCAACCACGCACCGGCACGAATATTTAGAATCATATTCTCTTGTTCTTCTTCTTTTATCGTTTCGTCTTTTTTTTTGTCATCTCCCGTGATATTTTTTCCTTTCCCGATATTTCTTGATTTTTATGAGTTGCAAGTTATTTATTTCCGTTTTAACTTTCATCCGTAAGGATTGTCGCTAAAAAAGGTGTGAACGAAGATGAATGTCTTAAAAAATTTCATTTTTCATCTCCCTATATTCTTTCATTTTCCGATATTTTCTCATTCTTATGAATTGCAAATCATTGTTTTTGTTTCTTTTTTTTTTCTATTCGTAAGAAGAATTGTTATTAAAAGGGTGAAGGAATAAAGATGAATGTAGAAATTCAAAAAGTAGAAATTCAAAATAAATATCACGATGTAATAACAAAGATTTTGCTTTTTTTTTCTTTATCTTATATTAAAAGCAAGTTATAAAATTTGATTTTTAAATTAAAAAAAAAACACGAATATAATAAATGTTATTCAATGTTATTCAAATCTCGTGAAACTGTTTGCTGCCTCTCTTGATTATCTATTTTATCAAATATTAGGATAAATCGGGATTAAAAATGAATATATTAAATAATTCAAAATGTATTACACTCATAATCACAATTTTTATATTTATGATAGAGAATAAATAAATAAAAATGAAAATAAGAATTTCTAATAATAAATAAAAATAATAAAAAAACATGCACGTTAAAGTTTGATTTCATTCTTTCAAAATAATATTTTACCAAAAAAAAAAATTATTTTATGCATAACTTCATTACACATATTCAAGTTTCATTGAAATTAAAATCTTTCTTTCTGATTTTGATAATATAGATAATATGTGAAAATTTGTTTGTATTAGAGTTTAAAATGCATAAAATGTATAAATTTATTTTACAACTGACTGTTAATAATATACTATTGTACAATATTACTATTAGTATATTGTATAAAATAATAGCAATATGTATACTAATAATAACGGTTTCTGAGTTCGCATTTCTGATCGTATTTCAACGTCAGAGTGTTAATTTCGACTCTGTTTTACCTCACTCTCGTGCTGAGGTTAAGAAAAAACGAGATTAATCCAAGATCCGATATTTGGCACGTGTCACAACTGTATTTCTCTAAACACGTTTGTTTCTTCATATAGTTTCTTTTATCGTGTATTATATATGTATTATATAAATGCAGCATAATACATGTATAATCATATGTATAAATGAATTAATAAGATTTCAAATAAGTGAATGAGAGAATTTAATAAATTTAACGACTAGTCAAACAAATTTCTTATTTCTTTCTCAATTTTCTATAACATACATATATATATATATATATATAGTTTTTATTTTCCCATTAAAACTTAACATATTATATCTCATGTAATTAAAACAATAAATATAAAAAATTTGTTTATTTGTATATTTTTATTTTTCACATTAACAGATTATTTATTTAATAGATACAATTTCAATTCACTCTGCAATCTTTATCTGGACAGGAAAAAATCGGTTTGTAGAGAATTCACACGATTTATATATATTTATATGGAAAGAAACATGTTGCGATTCATCTATCGATACTTACGATGCTTAAATTTTACGATGCATATTGCATATATGTGTGTGTGAGGACTGGTATCGGTATCAAATACGACTTACACCGATACACGAATCGGTTGTATCGTTCTGGTCAAGCAAGTGAGCAAGGATTTACGTTTCAGTGTATGTAGACTGTTTGAAACCGATGCGCAATTTGAAACTATGATACTTAAGAGTCATGTATTTTAACATGTTGTAGCGCATGTAAGCCAGTTTCAGGGACATATAGACATATACTGCTAATATCACGAATTCGCGGGAACACGGAAAGATTGTGTATCAAAATATTTGGGAATCAAAAAGATCATTCGAGATGTTCGAAAAATTTCAAGTTTTCTATCATATAAATTTTTTATTCTTTTTTGCAAACAAAATTCTTTCGAAATTCGGGTAAATAACGATAAACAATTTATAAGTATTTTGTTGAGTATGTAAATGTATTTTTATTTAATTATTAACATTTTGTAATTATTAACAATTGTAATTGACAAATGTGCGCAGATTTTAAATTCATTTTAATTATAATTTTTTTTTTTTAACGTATTAAATGTGGAGGAAAGATGAAACGTAAAAATTCAATTTTTTTTATTTATTATGAAATAGTAAATATTGTTATATCGGTTGTTTTTAAAATTGAGTTTCAAAAAAATTTTAAAATTAAAATTCAAGATTCTTTAATAGAATAGCTTTTTAGATTTTTTCAAGAAAAAAGAAAGAAGAAGAAGAAAGCCGGAAGAAAATGAGCAATTTAAGTTTCGATTAGTTCATGAATATAAAAATCAAATCTTGAGTGATTTCTAACAAATATAAATAAATTTTTAATGTATAATAATATACGTATTTAATATTTTCTTCCTAGACGAATTATTGTTATGGATAAGATAGCAATAATTTATCAAGCTATAATATAAGCATATAAAACACACACAACAACAAGCAAAGTATGATTATTGCACGTTATATTTCTGTGTGTTATATTCTGATCAATTGTGCCATAAAAGTATTTATGCGTTTTAAATA